TTTACAACTTAAAAATGAGCAGTTACTATATCAGTGATCTACTTTTTTAGAAGGAAATCAAGACAGAATTGTGTGAAAAGTGTATAAAAGCAATAGCTTTTCTACTATGAAAAAGACTGCCTCAGACACACTTTTCCTGTCCAGGAAACCACAATGAAGATGGTGGCAACTACAAGGCCAGGTGGTTGGCAGGAGGTATTCTTTCTTGGAAAGCCTTGTGCGGACCAACTTGGATTTCGGATGACTCATGTGAGCAAGTCATCTTCACCCATGAAAAATAAAGGAAGTTAAACGGCTTGGCTTCATGTTCAAAGAATTCTTATGTTGCTGATTCTCAAGTACTGATCACTTACACTGATCAAAGACACTCTTTTTCTTATGGAAATAGAGTTCTTGCTAAAGCTGAGAGCAATCTTGTTCAGTCCCAAGAATAAGACTAATACTTCATCGCTGAGAATATCCAGATGTCTGATAACTTATTTTCTGCAAAAATATTTAACATGTCCTTTCAATTAGTCAAAGCAATATACAAACTCTTATCTAAGGCCAAAGTAAAATAATCCCCAGAGACATCACAGGTGCACATTCCTGTACTACTTTGCAAAAGATGATTTATTTACTATTTTAAAAAAGATGGGGGAACATCAGAAACCATTAAATACCTATCGGGTATGCTGGTTTCTTTACTTCTTATTCTTAATTTCCTAGTTTTCCTTTAGCAGAACTGTCTGGTTAGTTCATTTAACAGAACTATCTGGTAGCAATTCAACTGCAACCCTTTCAACCAATCATATTAATGGAAATCTGCATACTGAAACCACACAGATTTTATATCACGTATGAGCAAACAACAGCCAATGAGCTTTACAACCTCTGCAAATTACACCTATCACAGCCCTTGAAGAAATGGTCCATTTCTTTAAGATTTTCATTCTTCGCTAGAATTAGAATGCCTGACTTAAAGGAGAAAGATGTCAGATTTAGTCATCATCTGATGATTGTGTATATTACTTTACATTAACTACAGAGTATCGATATGTTATACAGTAAAGGAAGTTTGAGAAGCATATCAGTCCCCAAAAGAGACTAATATTGATAAAGAGCCTCACCAACAACCTTGCCAGCCCAGAGGAAGAAAAAAAGTGAAAAGAATGTAGTAGACTTTTTAATTCTCAGTAAGAATACTTTTTAAATAATTCTTAAATAGCTTCATTGTAATGTACTATGTGAAAAAAGTACTTGCTCCTATCAATTCTGCCTTAACTCCATTTAATTTCAGTGAAATGTTTTAAGCGATGCAGGAGAAGAAGAAAAATTGTGCCTATTTTCAGTGCTCTGGAACTTTTTCTGAAGCTCTCTCCTGTCTCCCATTATCCTTTTTCATTTTGAAAATAAACTTTATACTAAAATAAACAAATGAACTACATTTTGAAAATTCCTTTATTTTCCAATGATGAGGAATAGAGAAAACTAATTCATCCAAATATTTTCTTTTGTTTAATTGAAATCATAAAACTACAATACTGTGATCTTTTCCTCTTAGCTGGAGTAATTTGTAATTCCTATTTCTTCTCTAATAGACAGCTAGTTTGTGTTTCTCATGATAATAGAGTCTAAGAACAACCTGATATACATGCAAGAAAAGATAGTACTACAATGATGTCAGAATGAGTGAGCCGAGGTGGCGCAGTGGTTAAATGCAGCACTGCAGGCTACTTCAGCTGACTGCAGTTCAGCAGTTTGGCTGTTCAAATCCCACCAGGCTCAAGGTTGACTCAGCCTTCCATCCTTCCGAGGTGGGTAAAATGAGGACCCAGATTGTTGGGGGCAATATGCTGACTCTGTAAACCGCTTAGAGAGGGCTGAAAGCCCTATGAAGCGGTATATAAGCCTAACTATTGCTATTGCTATTGCTATTGCTATTGCTATGAATCTGATGTAGTTGTAATTACTTGGAGAAGACTCCCAAGCACACATCTGCATATACTGTAGCACCCCTAAACATTATTTTATCTCTTTATAAAAAAAATTAAAAAAATTGTACAAGAATTAAGAAAACGATTTAAAGGATAACTTAATCTGTAAGATCTCTGAATTTCAATAAAATCTTGATTTAATTGATCACCCTTTTAACTGACTTCAGATGCAATGGACAAATCATCTGTCTGGATACAGCCATGAAAAAAAAATGGACATCTTTCACCTTTGAAAAAAATCCAGACCAGCCATTTCAATTTACTTTCAGTTGAATTAGATTTACATCATTTGCATCTATTTATGCCATTTCTGTACGGATGTCCTAATTCACCTGAGGTGAATTGCCTCAAAAAGCATACATTTGCATTCCACTCCCAATGAATGGTCCATTAAATCAAGGTGTTACTATTCTACAATTCTCCATCCAATGTAAATGTCACTTTCTTTTCTCCAAAAATGAAACAAGATCCCACAGATCCTACACAATAAGGCATTAAAACTTTGGAGCAGAAAACAATATTTTCATTTCTTCACATGAACCTCCGTGGTTTAAAAAAAAAGTATTAAAACATCTGCAACTTTTGTACAATGCTTGAAGTTTGGAAGCGTGCTTTAGAAACAAGAGTAATATTTAAAAATTAAATAAATAGATGCACAGGATTAGAGATTTTGAAGCAGTAAGAGACTCTATAGATGAATCCAGCAATAATCTTCTAGCCTAAAAAAACATAGCATTGAATTTTAGCATAGACATTCTTTCCCAAATTTCTCAATTTTCCAAATTAATGCTTGGACAAATTCCAGAAAAATACTTCCCCCTCCCTTTCTTTTTGAAGTCTTTTAAAATATGCACACATAATGCCTTAGTCTCTTTCCTTTTATGCTTATAAAAATAAATTAAATGTTATCTTTTCTTTCTCTTTTGTGCCTTTGAACTCTAATGTATTACCTACCCGGAAGCATCTTTTACACATACAACTAGTTGGCAGTGAGTGCCATAGCTGGAAGTAAGGGCAGTTCCATAAGTTATGAGTGAGTGAAGCCTGTCTGTTCCTGCCCATTCAAAGTCACTATCACCAATATAGGAAACCAAACTCTGGCTCTTTTGCCCGATGTGTCAGTTCACAAACAAGAATGTATAGGTCACTAGTAGATTGTTCATTTATGTCAGCAGATATTAATCAATTTGGCAGCCAGTGAAGAGGCTGATTTAGACACTGTGGAGAAGCTTTAAAATGGCCATGTGGGGAGAACCTTAGCCTATTAATAGAAGACACTACAAGTAATCCTTGACTCACAACAGCTTGTTTAGGGACCACTCAAGTTGCAACAGCACTGAAAAAAGTGAGTTATGACCGTTTTTCAACTTACAACTGTTGCAGCATCCCCAGGATCAAAATTCAAATGCTTGGAACTGACTCATACTTCTAACATCCCTGGGTCATGTGATCCACCTTTTGCGACCTTCTGACAAGCAAAATCAATGGGGAAGCCAGATTCACTTAATAACCATGTGGCTTACTTAACAACTACCGTGATTTACTTAACAACTATGGCAGGAAAGGTTGTAAAATGGGGCAAAACTCACTTAACAAATATCTCAGCAACAGATATTTTGGGTTCAATTGTGGTCATAAATCAAGAACTAATAGTATAAAGATGGGAGACAGTAAATCTGCTTAAGGTGAGCCAAGGTGGCGCAGTGGTTAAATGCAGCACTGCAGGCTACTGCTAGATCAGCAGTTCAGCGGTTCAAATCTCACCGGTTCAGGGTTGACTCAGCCTTCCATCCTTCCGAGGTGGGTAAAATGAGGACCCAGATTGTTGGGGGCAATATGCTGACTCTCTGTAAACCGCTTAGAGAGGGCTGAAAGCCCTATGAAGCGGTATATAAGTCTACTGCTAAGTCTACTGCTATTAATTTCAAAAATACAGAGATCTAATCTGGTAACCAAGAGTGCATCAACCACAAGAAAAAGAAAATCCATTTATAAGTACCATTTATAAATTAAATATCATAGTAATGTGTACATTTCTATTTCTTTCTTACTTTGTTTTCTTTTTAAGTTTTTATTTTTAACCTGTGAAGAAATTGAACAAAATTAAATTGGAAAGCTGGGAAGAAAAGGGGGATGTAAAAAGAAATGAGAAAAAAACCTAACTCTTTATTCATTGATTCTGGAAAACATTATGCTAAATCTTGGTTGTATTTTTATAACTGAGCATCCCTTATTTTCCAAGATTAGTTGCAACATCTAGTTTTAGTTGCAACATCTAGTTTTGATGCTAGAAAGTTGAGGTTTTAATACTGTGGCAATAACCAGTTGTAAGACAATTACTAGCAAGATGTGTATATTTGTTTATTATAGGCAAATAAATAAATGTTCGTAATCATACTTTTTATACAATCTAATTTTATTTGTGTACTAGTGTGCTTTTATTAACACAAGATGTGGATTATGTTGATTTAACATGGCCTCATTGACCCAATCATAACACAATCCTTTGATGCAAAAGACATTTTTTCAAGTTATCAAGTGTTTCACTACTTTGTTCTAAGTGCAAATGTTAACTTCTAAATCATTTTACATTCATAAGCTTTTAGTGTACCATTTCTGTTTTTCTATTTTTTTATTTAGTTTTACTTCATTCTTATTACATCCCAGTTTCTTTCAGCCAAGTCTGAGGTCCAGGTTATTTTCATTTTTTTAATCCTACTACACTTTTTCTCTCTCGTCTCCTTCAATTTTGCAAAAAAAAAATAAAATGTTAATGCAGTCACCCCACCCCACCGACTCCTGGTTCTCTATAAAGGAGCTGAGACTTTATTATCGTAGTGAATCTTCAAAAGCATTTGGACAAACGATTTACACAGAACCATATTTTTCTAAAAACCCTGTCGTATCCCGTATGGTGCTGGTCTATTTCATTTGCTTACTCCCGTGATGCATTTTGCTATTTCTTTTCATCAAGCAGGGATATAGAATGTATTTATGAGAAAAGACAGACAATAAGAAATGTACCTTTCCAGCTCAGCAATTTTCTTATCTTTGTCATTTTTTTCATTCTCTACTTCTTTGAGGATTTCTAAGAGCCTGTCCACCTCGGCTTGGGTTTTGCCACATTCCTCTCTATAGTAGGCAGCCTCTTTGTCAAGCTGCTTCAATCGATCAGCAAATTCCGGATTCTTCCGAGCTTCTTCCTCAGCTTCGTGAGCCTGTTAAATTGAAAAATAAATCAATCACTAGCCTTCCCCCCTAGTTTATAGTGTTATTCTTTGCCGCTAAGCTCTTTATAACAAAAGGGTTACTAGGTATTCTGTGAGTTGGTGACCTTTTCTTGCTATTGGGCAAAAACTATTTTCCTTTAACTTCCCATTATTTGGGGAAGGGAGGAGTAAGACCACAATTCTAAGTTCTAGAAAGAACATTCTTCCTGGAAAAATCACATTGAACAAGTTAACTTAAGCCTACACCTGATATGGTTTGATTTAATAACTACTTTAAGCAAATCTTGAACAACTTAATGTAAGTTATTTATTTCAGGCAAGATGTGAATGCCTGAAACCAATAGTTTTACCCCAAATCCCCCTTTTCCTCCCTTATTTTATTTCATTCTGCCAATACTTAACCTGAAACATAAGGAGAAAGAAGCCCCTCATGGAACAGCACAAATAAACGTACCTGGCAAACACATGCATGAGTGGTTGGTCAGTTCACAAACAAGAAAGAATGCAATGAACACAACAGAAAAGAAAAGTGCAAAGCCCAGTCTTGTTCCCATTAAAGCTAATGGCAAAACCTCATTAATGTCATTGAGAGCATGAATGGGCCAAAAGGGTTTAAAACATTACACTGAAATAATCACACACAGATGTAAACAAGAATGCACTGCAATGCTTAGCCTACCCCTTGTTTCCCATTATTCCTAATTGGCATCTTCAAAGAGCAGGCAGAGAGAAAACAAGTAGTTTAACTGCAGTGCACATTAAAGACACAATTCAGAGAACAGTTTTTCAATGTACACAAATACATTTTAAAGGTTTAAGGATGCTTTGAAAGACTGCATGTTCTGCTGCTAGTTAATGATACAGTACAAGTTTCGGTGTTGGTTCTATTATTCCTTGCACATTTATTACTTCAGAAAGTAAACTAGCAAGAAAACAGCGACAGTCTAAATTACATCTCAGATAAAATATCACATTGATATCTACTTCTTGAAGGTTAACATGCTTTGCAATGACTTTTTTTCAGTTTTGAACAACTCTTGAGTTTCAGGAAAATATGAAGTAATGTACAAAAATCAAGTTATTAATGAATTAATGGTCAGGGCAATTTATCTGCATGTAACATATTAGTCAAGCATGAGGATAATCAAGACAGGTTTAGTCTGAGTGGATCTCTTATTCTCCCAGAAACTTCTGAGGACATTTCAAAAGTGGCAAGTTTCTTACATAGACATATTTTAAAACTCTAAACAAATCATAAGTGCACCATTTATCCATAAAGAAATTGAGCTGTGTGACATTTGTTGCCTATATGTAAACGTTTTCATATACAATATACTTTCTAAATGGAAAAGTTAGAAATACAAAAATTTTGCCATGATTGAAAAAACTTAAGATTAAACATGAAGGGAATAATTTTCTCCATAATTCAAATATAACTTAGACCATTTACAAAATACACAGTTGTCAAGTATTCCTGTAGGCTACCTCCATTAATTTCAGTGCAAATTTGTTCAAATCCAAAATAAGTATGCCCTAATAGTAAAATGTAAATTGTGACTTTTCTGAAATTGCATCTTGGATAGTCTATTAGAGAGTGCCTTAGAACCTAAAAGCTGCGAATACATCCCCTGAATCTTATCTAGAAATCCTAAAATTAAAAATTCAATAATTCTATGTCTATTATAGGATATGGGACAGAAGAGGGTAAACATTAGAAAACAACGCAAATTAATTAGCTATGGTAGAATCTGACTTGTGGGACATATCTATGTACTTAGTGAAACAATAGCTAAATAGAATTTTGGAAGACTTGGTTGAAAGTTATTTCATAATACAGTGAATAAATTGTGACATTTCTGCACCTTAATAATTCATGCTAGATTTTGGGGTATCACTACAAAGGATGTTGAGGTTATGAGATAAAATATATTTCTATGATATATGCTGAGTTGATACTATAGTTGTTCCTTTAAAGAAGTTCTTGATATTTGGCAAATAAAACAAAAGTATTATTTTTAGAATTCTGAAGAGTTTTTTTTTAAAAAAAATAGCTGAGATGTTGAGAGTTTGGGCAAATGTTTGTTCCATTTCCTATACTTACTTTTTCTTTAGAGGGGAAAAATGTGAAGGCTTATATGGTCCATTTCAAATAACAAATAGATGTGGAATAACAAAAATCAGTAGAAGAATGAACCAGAAACTTTGGTGAATAATGTTTTTGTCTGTTTTTTTCAGATAGGCTTTCATAAGTAAAATCTTCATTCAGTGTAATATTGAAAAGAAACAATATGGAAACATGTTGTAGATTGTGGAGAGGATTTCAGACAGGACAAATGGTGACACCCCCCTCCCCTCCCAAAAAGTTCATTTTGTGAGGTGTCAGCTTCATAAAAGAAAAACAGGGGTTATTATTCTTAATATCTCTGTGGGAATTCTTGGGATATCTGGAGAACCATACATCACTTCTTTAAGAGAGGATTACAACTGAGATAGCCAAGTAAACAGCAGCAGCAAAATAAGTCTTCAAGAGGGAGACAGGTTGTAAACGGTTGAGTCTATAAGATTTTTAAGGCTTTAAGCATTATCATGAGCATCCTGAATTGGACTCAGAGGATAACCAGCCAACAGAGAACACTTAATTCTTCCCATGTTGTTGAATAAGAAGTTAGAGTCAATATATTAGTATAGGCTTTTATGGCTAGTATGTGTGGAGTTTCAGGGTTTAGTGACTATGGTCTAAGCAACAGATTTCCCAATGTTTCGCAGGCAACAGTGGCTGGCGGTTTCAGAGGCACCGTGGTCTGCAATCATCTATCTAGACCACAGTCACTAAATCTTAAAGCTCAACACTACCCCAATTATAGTTAATGTCATAAAGTATAATGATCTGCCAAGGCAGCCAGGAGTATAACAACATCACAGTACTCTGTCTGGCAACAAAAACGAAATGCACAGGTACAGTATAGGTGGTACTTTGCTCAATAGTAGTAACCGTGAAAGGGATCTTGGAGTCCTAGTGGACAACCATTTAAATATGAGCCAGCAGTGTGCAGCAGCTGCCAAAAAAGCCAACACAGTTCTAGGCTGCATAAATAGAGGGATAGAATCAAGATCAAGTGAAGTGTTAATACTACTTTATAATGCCTTGGTAAGGCCACACTTGGAATACTGCATTCAGTTCTGGTCGCCATGATGTAGAAAAGATGTGGAGACTCTGGAAAGAGTGCAGAGAAGAGCAACAAAGATGATGAGGGGACTGGAGACTAAAACATATGAAGAACAGTTGCAGGAACCGGGTATGTTTCGTTTAATAGAAAGAAGGACTAGGGGATATATGATAGCAGTGTTCCAATATCTCAGGGGTTGCCACAAAGCGGAAGGAGTCAAACTATTCTCCAAGGCACCAGAGGGTAGAACAAGAAGCAATGGGTGGAAACTAATCAAGGAAAGAAGCAACTTAGACCTGAGGAGAAATTTCCTGACAGTTAGAACAAATAATCAGTGGAACAGCTTGCCTCCAGAAGTTGTGAATGCCCCAACACTGCAAGTCTTTAAGAAGATGTTGGATAGCCATCTGTCTGAAATGGTATAGGGTTTCCTGCCTAGGCAGGGGGTTGGACTAGAAGACCTCCAAGGTCCCTTCCAACTCTGCTATTGTATTGTCTTTCCTATTTTCAGCAATCAGCAGGATAACTGAGGCCATCTGCCCTAGTTATCTTTCGATGTCAAATCTGCATCTAACCCTAACCCTTTTAAAAGGTTCAGAATAATCCTTTTGATTTGAGAATTGCTGGACCTACAATAAAATATAAATGTGATCAGAATTACATTAAGATGATGGCTAAAGAGCCATAGTGACACAGTAGTTAGAGTGCAATATTGCAGGCTACTTCTGCTGACTGCTGATTGCCAGCAGTTCGGCACTTCAAGTACAACGGGCTCAAGGTTGACTCAGCCTTCCTTCTTTCTGAAGTTGGTAAAATGAGAACCAAGATTGTTAGGGACAATATGTTGACTCTGTAAACCACTAGGAGATGGCTGTAAAAGCACTGTGAAGTGGTATATAAGTCTAAGTGCTATTGCTAAATCAGAACATGGCTTTGATTACATATAAATAGTCCTTGGTTAATGACCATTCATTTAGCAGCTGTTCGAAGTTAGGACAGCCTTAAACAAGGGAATTTACACAGGTCCTCAGAATTGTGGTAACTGCAGTTACATGATCAGGCTTTAGGCGCTTGACAATTGCCTCACAATTATGACAGTTGTAGCATCCTTTATTCATGTGATTGGCATTTCCCACCAGTTTCCAACAAGAAAAGTCAATGGAGAAGCTCACAGGGGGGTTGCAAATGGTGATCACATGATGTAGCCATGTCGCCATGTCACTTAGCAAAAGAATTCCCAGACCCAATTACTGTCATTAACCAAGGAGTACCTGTAATTCTGATCACCATGTTGACTTTTTTATTTCCCTCTTCTATGGACATTCCTAGTGGGGGGGGGGGGGGGGGATGGTCTGCTATACAAAATGTGTTGAGCTCTTTGTATGGGTTTCATACATTAATTAGTTGCATGTAGGGACTGGTTCACATTCTATGGCCCACATACTGCACATCTCATGTATATGCTATTGATATCAGTGCTTTATACTGAAAAGACCAGAAAGAGTAGCATGGGGTGGCCTAATTCTGAGTGTACTGCAATATCTATCATACAGAACTAGAATGTTCATACTGAGCAAGTCACCTGGAAAAGTGACTTAAGATATACACTCCAGATAGGCTATGGTTAGGGTAGCAATATGTATATTAACTCTGCTCTCAGAAATTTGTTTCTTATGTTCCATTCAGCTTCATGGCATTAAAATATATTTATACTACACTGTATTAAAGATAGGATCATACTAGTAACTATAAACAATAATCTCATATTAGGTTGCTTGGAAATTACAAGAGAGGAGATCAGAACTTTCCTCTTTTTTATCCTTTTCATCCTTTATTATCCACTCATTCATTTTCAAAGACCATCAAAAGGATAAAGAAGCTACCTGCAAACCTCTTCATACTTTTTATTCAATTTCTATCTACTCTTTAATAGTGCATTCAGTAGACAAAGTTAAGGATTAAAATATCTCTACATTGAGCAAGGACTACAAGATCTCCAATGCTCCTTCCAACTTTCTTCCCATTCTATATTCCTATGAACGTTTCAGTTTGGAATATGTAATTTTGATGTCCACCAATTATGTAGTTCACATTTTGTTGGGCTATATTAAAGACCGCTTCATTTTTTTTCTGCTTAAGAGCAGGCAACCAGATACTGTATACATCTGTGGTTCAATGAGTAAGCCCAAAGAACTGTACAACTGCTCTATCAAAGCATACTCAGGGGAAGATACATAGTTGCTTCAGCCTTGCAGGTCTTCAAGGCCAAGCAACACTTAGAGTATATTTTAGGTCAACTGTCTCTGCTAGTCTTGATGGATTGCAGCAGCAACATAGTTTAGCTGTTTTGGGATCATATCCAGGATAAGCTTAAAGAAAAGGAGATCCATCCATTATTTTATACAATCATAATTACACTCATGCAAATTGATTGTCTCCAAATATTTATGGAAAACTGAATGAATTATAAATTAACTTTTAAAAACTGCTAGAGCATGAGACTTATATTGTGTGGAATATCCGTGTGACAGTTTATGAACTG